AGTTAGTCAATTACAGTCAATTAGTTGCCTGAGAAGTAATTTAATGCAGTTTTCGAGCAGTTATTGAACAGTTATGTTAGCTTTTGTTTGGTAACTGAAGAGTAAAACTACTTGGAATTCTAGTCAAGATGTAACACTTTTCAAAAGCTAACATAACTGTTCAGTAACTGCTCGAAAACTGCATTAAATTACTACCAAGCAACTAATTGACTGTAATTGACTAACTGTATAAACATGGTAACCTTCTTTTATGTATTAATGTCCGCTACGATCCTGCTGATCGTATATTTTGTTTTGTAATAACCAAGATACGAAGTTGTAACTTTAAAATTCTAAAATATGGGGCATCTAGTCTCGGTCTCCTCTATATTTGTAGGTGAAGTTTAAGAATACAAATTGTAGATTTGGAGCAGATTTCTTTTGGTAGAGCGTCACGTTGCTAATTACGAACAGTCACGAAGAAAATTCCTCTCATACGTCGCATCGATGCGCGGAACTTAATCACGCGCTCATGTACGTTTTAACAAGGTGGCTCATCAGCAAGGGCAAGATCGAGAAGGCGGTGAAGATCATGACGAAGATCGAGAAGATCAATCGCACGGAACTGCCGCGAGATGTCTACGAGAACTTCTTGGACGACTGTGTGGAAACCGCCGAGACCTTGGCGGCGGAGGACTACAGCATCGCCGCTCTCTTCAAGACCAAAAGATTGCGGTAAGCCGCCGATATCGTACGCGACACAGCGAGGCTGCAGGAGAAAAGGAATAAAAGACAAAAGGAACAATCGCGTCTTCTACGATTTAGAAGAACGACTCTTCTATTGATAATATCCTGGAGCGTGATCTCGATGGCGTACGACGGCCACATCAGGTGCCTGGACGGCCTGGGCATGGACCTCTTCACGACGTTCACCATCGCCTCCTGCACGGAATTCCCGGCGGAGGTTCTGATCACCTGCATTCTCGACGTCTGCGGCCGGAGATGGAGCCTCTTCGTCGCCGTGATCCTCTCGGGCCTCTTCAGCTTCGTCGCCGCCAGTGTGCCGCTCGGCATCACCTTCATCTCATTCGCCTTGATCAGTAGATTCTTCATCAACGTCGCGTCCAACATCGGGCTGCAATTCGCGGCGGAGTTGCTGCCGACGGTAGTGCGGTGCGAGGGTGTGGCGTTCATCCACATCATGGGCCACGTGGCTACCATCCTGAGTCCCTTCCTGGCTTTTTCCAGCAGGATACAGTACAACTTACCCATGATTATTTTGGGAATAGTGTGCATTCTAGCCGGCTTCCTGTGCTTATTCCTGCCGGAGACGTTGAAGGAAGAGCTGCCGCAAAACCTCCTGGTACTCAAGAATGAAATTCGTATTTTTTAAGTGTCTTTTTAATCTTTGGAGACCAGGGAGACTATCTGCAAGCTCTGCTTGACATCTTATTTTTTCTCATGCATCACATAGCCATATACTTGAGATTTCTACATTCATAATCGTTAAAATCGTTAAGAGGATTCTCCTTCTCTAAAGGTTTAATTATTGATTAAAAAATTTTAAAAAATCAGTCACAACAACTTAAATCGAGCTAAAGGAATCTGTATTTAGTAAACTTATTCTTCTTCTGATTATCTTGATTTTTCCAGCAAAATTTTAGGGGCCTTTCAACCTTCTGTTCGTGCGTCAAAGTGGACGCAACACATTATAAGTCTGCCTTTATTATTTGATTTATTTAGCTTTTTCCTTCAAATAACTACTCCTAGAGTCGCTTCTATTATGTAATCAGATCAACTTTTTGAAGAAAATGGGGCAAAACATCCAATTATTGACACCTCCTTAGTCATTAACAAAAAAATCTGGTGTTCCTTGCGACCATGATTGCTGTGAAACTTTTTACTTGCACTCTATAATTCCAAAAAAAGCTTCATAACTGCAAACAACTGTCGCTGGTTAAGAAAAGTCAGGATTTTTCAGAGTATCAATAAGTGTCTAAGTTGGATCAATAATTGGGTGTTTTATATTAGTGAATATTTCAAATTCCTGCATCAGATTATTGATCCGACTTGTTTTTCATTAAATTCGAGTAAATCGGTCGCAGTCTGCAAGGAAACTCGTGTAACTCGGGTTTTTATTCTACTTCTTAGTGTATACAAAATTTTACTTCTTAGTGTATATGAATTCTACTTCTACTTCTTAGTGTATATATTAAATTACTGATAACAATTTCTCGTTTTTGGCATAACATCTTTCGCTAAAAGGATTGGCGTCCTCATTATTATCATTCTCTTTCGTATTCAGGACGGAGAACTGTTCGGGATCGATCAAACGTTCTGGGAAACCCCGTTCACGAAGAAACGGCAACCCCCGGAGCCCAAAGGGCACTACTTGCATGCAAAACGACCGGTCTCTCGACCTGCCGTGCTAAGAAGCAGCATGGTATCCGGTCATTTGGGCAACCTGAGGAGACATCAGGCCGCCCGTGCTAGAGCGGAGGAGATCGGGAGAAGCGCCTTGGGTGCGGCTACTTCGCCCACAGAATACGTCAATTTACTCAGAAGGAGATACGAAGAGATGCGGAATCAAGTGGCCGCGGCGAACGAGACGAAACTGAGCAAGCCGGCAAGCGAGGACAAATTCGCCACTTCGCCAAAGGACGGGAAAGACAAGTAATTCGGCAATATTAAGTCATAAAGAGTTATTGTCTCGAAGTAGCAATCGGTCTCAAATTTCTTTAGGGACACGGCAGACTCGCAAAAAGAGGAAACGCCGAAGAGTGAGGAAGATGAACGATGAAATGCGGGCGAGTCGAGTGTCTGAATTTGAAAATTTTAATAAGACACGCTCGCCGAGCGAATTGAAGTTCGCGAAGAAATGCGTAATCAGTACGCTGAGAAAGCAAATGCTAGAAAATTTATTTGTGGTATATCAATTTTATTTCACAGAAATAAACTTTATCTCATAGAAATAAATTTTATCTTACAGAAATAAATTTCATGTTCCACAAATAAAGTTGCGAATATTTCTTTTTTCAGTACACACATAAAAATATATATACTGTATTTGAGTAAATGTTACTTGTTTCAAGTATTCCTTAAGCCTGATCTACAATATGCTCTTTGCTTCTTTCTCTTTATCTCTTTCTGACTCAAACCTTAAGCTTTAAGCCAGAAAAAGGCAGAAGACAAGAAACAAAATGCAAAGAGCATATTGTAGATCAGGCTTTAAGCTTATACATCCGCAAATCTATTGTAAATTCATTGCAAGCATCAAATTTATTCGAGATACATTCTGAATCCTACACTGAGAAAAGTATATTAGATTTGGTTTCCGGGTTTGAGTCGCGTGGATTTATTTTTGTTTGATTCCGACGTTTCGCGAATATTTCAGTCCGCTTCATCAGGGAGGAACGACCCGATGCCGAGTTGCTCCTGAGAGGTCTTCCTTATATAGTAGTTGATATAAGGGAGGGGGGGAAGGAGGGAGAAGACAGGAAGGAGGGGAAGGCTTAGCAGGAGGGGTAGTAGGAAATTTGTTGTTTGTCATGTTTTGGAAAAAATCAAAACTGAGAAAAGTATATTTGAAAATTAATTTATGGGAAAGAGTTTATTTTCTTTTTCACAGACATAAACTTTATTTCACAGAAATAAACTTTATTTCACAAAAGTAAATTTTCAAGTATTTTTTCTCATTGCAATAAGTTTAGAATTTCAATGAAGAATATGAAAGTAAAGCAAATATTCGTCTTGCTTACTACATAGAATCGAGCTGACTTTTTCTTGAATAAAATTTTATGATATCCTCGTGAAGAGAGTAAATTCCTTTTTTGAGTACATGATAACGAGTTTTTCTCAAATTTATCATAAGTATATTTTAATACTATTATCAATAAAATATTCTTTGTTAAAGATAATCATTACTTAAAAGAAGGAAAGTAACTGAGTAAATGTTTTTCTTGGCAAAGAGAGAGTAGAATGATATTTTTTTCTGTGTACCAATTAAATCGAGTTGCATTATCCGATAGTTAGCCTAAGTATTATATCTATGGCTTCAAGTTTTATATACTTTGTCTTTTTACAACGTACTGGTTAGCTCCGAAAATAGACACGACGAGATGAATGCTAAGTTAATTACTGGAATTAGCGACAACAGGCTCCTGTGGTTTCGACATGTGGTCGTATTTAGGGCATGCCACGTCCCACGGCTCGAATTACGTTCCTTTTTCTACGAAAACACACAAATTCACTTCACGGTGGGTGGTGGCGTAAAAGCGTGTCGCGTGTGCCCGTTAATTTCTCCTTTTTCTTTTTCCTCTTCTTTTTTCACCAAGCCATCGAGTGCAGTGTAACGTTCGTGTCGCGACATAGAACGCTTTAATAAGCTGATAAAAAGGAATACATATGTATACGTATGGGACGATTCATATTCTACATTTTCGTCGCATCGATTTCTCATCGCTCTCATTATGGAATAAAGCGACATGCAAGTAAGAACACTGAAAAAAATTAAAAGAAAAATGCATTTATATGTACACACATATAAACACACAAATTGCAGGGCGACATGATAGAATTGTACCACATTTTCCGTCTGTTACGCAAAAATGCTATTTCATCCGCTCTCACGGGTTCCTCAAATGTTTTGGTCTCCGAGGTACCAGTGTTACTCTATCGTCGGGTTTTACGAGCGGTCCTTTCGGTTCGTTCGCACACCAAAAGTAACGTGAGGCCTCGTCACTCGACACGGCTAATGGACCCATAATGACCGAGTGACACGTCCAAAGTGCCGGCAACATCAGGGTTCGACACACGAACCGGAAAATCTTGGACCTCTGTAACCCTGCGGGTTTCATGTAGCAGTTTGCATAACTTGCGAGATCCTTCCCGCCGTCTTTGTACCTTTGTTGCCCGCGAAGATGGGACGCAACATCGCATGTAAAGTATCATCATATTATGTTCATCCCTCGAACTTAGCAAGATAAGTAAATTTATCTGCGTTGTTGCCGCAAAAATGTTTAATATATATATATATATATATATATATATATATATATATATATATATATATATATATATATACAGTGTGTCCCATAAGTTCGGCAACGGCAAGAAAACTCGGCGGGGGAGCATTTTAGAGAAAAATGTTTCCATTAAAAGTTGTAAGGCTTAAAAAGTCGCATTTAATGACAGTAGTTATTTGACCTAAGATGACGTCGCCAAGGTCAGGACAAGGTCAACTTTGCTTTTTTAGATAGAAATACATATTTTTTATTACGGCATTTTATTTTACGTAAAAAAGCAAACAACTTTTGTTTGAAAAATTTTTTATACGACCTCTATTTTCTAAGATATTTACGTAAATATCTATAAAATTATTGGTTTCAATAATTTTTTACTTGAATTCTATTGACTTTACCGAAAAATATTAAGAGATAAAAATTGCTTATTTTGTTTTCAAAGAGCTCTGAGAATTTTTTCAGAATTTTGTGTTAA